CCCCCCCATTCCACACCTTGCCATGACCACTCCCATCCTGCTGCGTGCTGGGGACAACCTCAATGTCCTCCCGGGACCGGAAGGAGATCCCACAGATCCGGAATAATTCGGGATCACCGGATCCGGTGTTGATCCGACCACAGCGCCGGTGCTGAGCTGTCCAGAAGAATCCCAAAGCTGTGGCTCCTCCTCCTGGGCAATCCACTGGTGTCGATCCCCCAGTATGGAGGTCCCACCAAGATCCATCGGGATCATCCCCAGAGCTGGATCTGCTTCCAGATTGAGACGGTGGATGGTGGAACCCACCAGTGCTGAGCTTTCCAGAAGAATCCCAAAGCTGTGGTTCCTCCTCCTGGGCAATCCACTGGTGTAGATCCTCCAGTATGGAGGTCCCAACAAGATCCATTGGGATCATCCCCAGGGCTGGATCTGCTTCCGAATCAAGATGGTGGGTGGGTGGTGGATGATGGAACCTACTGGTGTTGAGCTTTCCAGAAGAATCCCAAAGTCGTGGCTCCTCCTCCTGGACAATCCACTGGTGTAGATCTTCAGTATGGCCATGGACCCACCAAGATCCATTGGGATCATTCCCAGAGCTGGATCTGCTTCCAGATTGAGACGGTGGATGGTGGAACCCACCAGTGCTGAGCTTTCCAGAAGAATCCCAAAGTCGTGGCTCCTCCTCCTGGACAATCCACTGGTGTAGATCCCCCAGTATGGAGGTCCCACCAAGATCCATTGGGATCATCTCCAGAGCTGGATCTGCTTCCAGATTGAGACGGTGGATGGTGGAACCTACTGGTGTTGAGCTTTCCAGAAGAATCCCAAAGCCGTGGCTCCTCCTCCTGGACAATCCACTGGTGTAGATCCTCCAGTATGGAGGTCCCAACAAGATCCATTGGGATCATCCCCAGGGCTGGATCTGCTTCCAAATCAAGATGGTGGATGGTGGAACCCACCAGTGCTGAGCTTTCCAGAAGAATTCCAAAGCCGTGGCTCCTCCTCCTGGACAATCCATGGGTGTAGATCCTCCAGCGTGGCCATGGACCCACCAAGATCCATCGGGATCATCCCCAGGGCTGGATCTGCT